AAGTTATCCCCGCCATTTCCTGGAACTGCTGGCTTGGAATGAGACTTGGCGTTATCTTCGACACACGACCGACGGTGTTCCACACTGTGGTACTAATGAGCTATCGAAGCAAAAGAGCAAAGCCTTTGTATCTTTTACTTTATCGTTGCAAAAGTGCTTGAATCGGATCGACGGGGTCCTTGCGACGAAAATGATACCAAACACGATTATACTCGAACAACTTTGAGTTAAGAAGAGGTCATTTTATAAAATAGAGCATTTTTGGGAATGTATTATATTTCTAAGCGACAGAAATATTTCTTTCGATTAAATATACAAAACTTCTCTTTGCAATTTTTCTTTAAAAAATGAATGAAACATGTAATGCTGAACAGTAATCTAATTTGATGGGGATGATTTCGAAACAAAATTTGAATAAATCTAAATTGTCTATAATTCGACTTCTAGTTTGTATTCAATGTTGTTTTTATCCCATTCGTTGTTTGAGCGATTGTTTTACATTTTGTACCATCGTAGAAATTATTTTTCGATATATTAGAGTCATTCCGGAGTGGCGGGAGATCAAGAAAATTTGTAAAATGATTTGCAAACATCTATATAGCTAGCGTTCGTAGTACAGAGTAGATTACACGCGCACACAAATTCCTTCTTCTTCGTGTTGATCGAATCGACGTCAGATGCAAAGTTGTTACCGGTATTTAATAGCATGTCAATTTCCCGCTGTAGCCGCAACGTCGATGGCTAGCTAGCTGTCTCCAGCGAAAGGTAGATTTTCAGCTTTCCACGGTTTTCGACGTGCGTCGAGAATCTCGCGAATCATTTTACTTTCCCAGCCGTTATTAAATATAATGGAGGGAAAGTATTGCCATTAGTAAAAATTTGATCACCACGATTTCTCGAATTTCTTGACGCATTCGTGTGCTCCGAAGCCAAAAATCCGGAAAAGAAAATACTCCAAAAATTATTTCTATACCTCGGAAACCTTTGTACCTGAAAAATTGTTTTTCAATCTTTAAAAAATTGGGGTATTCGTTTTTCTATCTGTCTCTGAAAGGAGAATACTACCTTGTTCGCTTGAAAAAAATCAAATTTATCTGTTTTCTCCTTTGTTTGTCAATCCTCTTCTACGAATGTTGTCGTAAAATATGGAAACCCAGCAATAGTGGGGAAGAAAAAATAACACTTTCTATAAAACGTGTCCGAACATTCCAGCAAGCTGCTTAATGGGTAAAGCACTTTAATCTGTTTCGTGCTGTTGAATAACTGCCACGTGGAGACAGTGCAAATATCATGAATAAAATGCATCGATCATGTTTAAAACTGAGTCGAAAGAAGAAAGCTAGAGGCGATAATTTGAATATTTAAAAATTGTTATCCCATTAAAAATAATAGAACTTCAATTTTAGACAAGAACCAAGCATTCAACATGAAAAACCCTCAGAAAACCATATTAAATCAGACATTACGTCTCTCACCCCGAAATACAACATGAATTTTATTTCTTATTCGAATTGTGACTCATATGTGGGTCACGGGACGTATGGGGTTAGGTTTATAGTTTACTGACCCAAATACGAGTCGGCGGTTTGCGAACGCGTTCAAAGCGAGAACATTCGATACGTTCTAAAACTAATACCGGAAGGGTTCTGTAACAACGCCGCTTTTTTCTTTTCTTTTCTTTCTTTTTCGTGTTCTTACTCCATCCACGCGTACGGAAGCATTACACCGTCAAGCTACGACAGGAGCATAGTTTACGTAATCGATGGCGACAGCGTATATTTTTATAATCGTTCGCGTTGTAAGTCAACACCGGCGTATTAATTTCAGTAGCCAATATTGCGTTTCCCGGGCGTTTTTCGTTCCACCGATCGCTTGCAACTTTCAATTTTTTCTCGAGCGATCGAGAGGACAGTATTCGAGAGGCAAGTTCGAGAAGACATTAATTACCGAAAAAGTTTCTCACGTTACCTTTAACTGCGATAAAGATAACTATAACGTTTGTTTCTTAATATTCTCCTATATTCTTAGCAGTAAATAATGATCTATTGAACTGTATATCCTCCAGTTCAAGATTTAATTCAGTTTCCGTCGCAGGAATGAATTTTAACAAAGCTGTGGACCTTTGAGGTGGAGCAATTTTTCAATATTATTCTTCGAGCGACGGGATATATTTTTCCAGCAAGGCGGGGACGGGGAAAGAAAAATTTTAGCTGAAACGAACTGAATGTTCGTAAAAATTCCGAGACACTAGCAAGAACGTCGTCGATCGTTTCTGGTTTTAAGAAGGAGTGAAACTGTCGAGGAGGGAAAAATCTTGGTTCGTAACGAGCGAAAAAGGGTTGGCGTTGACCCGACTGTTCTTCGATTCGCGAAAACGTTTGCCGCGCGACTCGCGAGCGAAACGGAAGGTAACGGGACCGGGAAAACCGCGCTAAAAACCGAACGAACCGTCCAGCGTGTTGGGAATCTGTGTTACGGTCGTTGCTCTTGGCAACATTACGCCCGTCGGCTCTCTGACTTAGTTTACGCTCTACTCTTTTTTGATACGCGGACTAAAATAATGCGCATTAAGCGTTTAATTCGACTGCGTTCGCAACGAGCGTATCAAGTTTATAAAAGTAACGAATAAAGTGCACGGATACAAAATCCGTTACAGTGCTGTTTTCAATTCGAAGAAAACACGAAAATTGGAGAAAAAAATGTAAAAATTACAGGACAGTCTGTTCCCCATTCTTACGATTTCTATCGAATGTTAGTGCATTTCCTTAAAAGGAAATTTTCGAAGCTATTTAAATTTAATTTCTGTTTTCATCCGTTGGATCAGGAAATGGACCTTTCGCGAGTGGAAATTTGGCAATTGTTACGTTGCGAATTGGCGAAAGGTGTAAAGACCGTGGAAGAGCTGCTATAAATATTAACGATGCTTACGGACTCGACTACTAAACGAAAATTGAGGGTTCGTTCAACAGTTAAATTGAAATAAAATGTACGCGTCGGTTAAAGTAATTTTCTCGTACGCGTTACTTTCCTCCAATTCCCCGACGTTTCGTGCTCGAAAATGGTCGTACGCAGAGGGTTAAACGCTAAACGTGTAAACTAGTTCCCTTTCGTTTCAGTCGTAAAGACAATGACCGGCGCGCCGGCTTGAAAGATCATGGCTCTGTGCCGTTTAGGTTACGAGTTTAGACTGCTTCTCGCGGTTGCTTGGGCATACGTAAACGTAAACGTAAACGTAAACGTAAATCGCGCGTGTGTTTTCGTGACGAACACGTGGGGGACCTACGGTGTCGCTCGACACGACGCAGAGAAATAGGAAACCGAACGAGCGTGACATTCTTTCGGTAATAACGAGGCACGAGTCACGTAATATGGAAGTTGAGATGAACGCACGCACGGCTTAGATCGGTTTCTGGTAATCAAAGTAACGCGATATCGCTTGAAAACCACGACAGATATTATCCTGGCGCCTGCATAGCGTGTCGTAGACGCGGGCCTTTCGCTTTGGGCCCAAAACCGTTCTGCTTGTGGCTGGTTAACGCGTCGAACGCAGAGACTTTGCTGACCAGTTTCGTACCGAACGAATTAAAGTTGGCTGTCGTTGCGCAAACCTTCCTTCTCGCGAGATACAGCAACGAATCTTAAAATGAACCCCGCACGTGATTCGTAAGTTGAACATTTTTATTTAAAAAGACGACGATTCATATAATAATTATATTGACAAACAGTTTGTTTCGGTATCTTCTAAATTTCCCTGAAAAACTTGGATTGTTCGTCTCTGCGTCCAACGCTTGAATTCTCGTATCGTTTATTTTTAAATGAAAAGTTAAAAAATTTCCTGTAGACCAGGAGTTTGTTTCAATGATAAAAGAGTAAATCCTGGATTTGCGTCGTGGTGGACTTACGCAAAGAGAAATTACAAGTATCTTGAGAAGATTAAAGTGCAAAAACTGCGCGTGGACTTTTAAAGTTTTCATTTACTGTCGTAAGGATTATTTTAAGGAAAGTTTCGCTAATTGAATTTAATAATTTAATGGGCAGTTCATCGCGTCGAGTATAACGGAATCGAATTAATTTTTAAACCCTAATTGTATTATTCCTGTAAAGTAAAATACGATACGTTTCACGTCAAAGGGATATATTTCGTTATAAAAGTAGTATTTTCCACCGTTAATATCGATCCCAAATACATACGTATATCGTGCACTGTTCCTTTCTGCACTTTAGCTGCACCTCGTCTTCTTTGCATATTTTAACTTGTAATTGGTACACCTGGGTCCTGAAGACTCTACTGCAGAGGAATGGGTTATTTTACTGGCTTGGCCTATTTGGTATTCCCTTAACTCTCCGTTGGCTTTGAGCCTGCGATGTTATTGTTTGCATAGATCATTTAGCTTTCGATCGATAAGAGTGTTCTGGTCTTATGGATTCGAGTATACCGTTAGTACACAACTTATTTTAATATCATGGCATTTGGTTCTTTTGATTTATTATTTGGAGCTCCTTTACTGTTCTTTCGACGGTTACGGCATTGCTGCTATTTTTGCAGTTTACATCTCTAGCCATTTCTTTTATAATGAAATAGTATGATTAATTATTGAACGTCAAATAGGACTACATTATAATTTCTTCAAAATTTTAATACGTAACCACCCATAAAATGTTCAATAAATACATTTCTGTTATTCTTTTGTGAATCAATGTATATATATTATTGCTTTTGTTATCTAATAAACTAAAATAGACAGTAAATGAATATGTCAAAGAGTTTTTCCTTCAAATCAATTTGTTTAGTAGTTATAAGCATTTGTACCAGTGCAACGATGCTGTGCCAATACTTATATTCAACACTGTATATTTCTGAAGAGAAATAAATATTACCACCCTCTTTGTATTAATTAAGCTACAGATATACCAAAAGTGTAGATACAATTCGTTAAATTAATAAAAAATGTATAAAATAATATAAAGAAGTGTAACACGATGGATTGTTCGTATTTTAGGCGCTGTTGAGCGGTGATTCGCTGGACGCCAAAGATGGAGGCGACGAAGGGAGCCGACGGTGAAGATTATTCGAGGACGAACGTGCAGGCTGGTAAGAAGGAGGTGCCCGAGAGGCTTCGAGTCCTCTCGGTCGATAAGCTTACCGTCGAAAAGATCGTCTTGGAGTCCTCGACCGGATCACGAGAAGTGCTCCTAACGAAAAATGAGAGTTCCAGGAAGCTATCGATAAAATCAGAGTCGGGAAAGACAATTCCGACGCAGTCCAAGGACGAACGGAGGGAGTCCACGGACGTCAAGTATCGCGCCTCGCTTTCTGAAGACGCGTTCGTCTACGTACCGAGCAACGACGTTTCCGTTAACGAAGTGGTCTCGAAGACTTCCGGGGCGAACGACGTACCCGCGCCGAGCGTCGAGAGGAGGATCAAGCCCATCAAATTGACCAAGAGTCCTTCGATCGGTAGCATTGTAGTCGCCGGCTTGAAGTCCGCGTGTAAAATTCCGCCCAAGGTGCCCGAGAAACCGGCCGCCGCTAGCCTAGCGATCTCGTTACGAAACGGAAGGGAATCCTCGAATTCGAACGTTTCGAGATCGGCTAACAAGTTAATCGGGATAACGGAGGGACAGGACGAAAAGTCGAACGCTTCGGAGTCGGTCGGGGACGGCGGGAAAATCGAGAAGGAGAAGGAACAAAACGAGAAAGACGTGATCGTGGACGAAGAGCGGCAAAAGCTAGAAGGGAATGGCGTCGAGATCGACGCGAAAGATCGTTTAGAGAGGAGTCGGTCGAAGATCGGGGTTCTGCAGCAAAATTTGAGCACTCAGATAGACGCGAACACGGCCGAGAATTACAAGAGAAAGCTGCTGGAATTGCGGACGAGCTACGCGCTGAAGCTGCCCGTTCTCGTCGACTCGAACGCGAACGAGAAGTTCGTCGGCGAGGTAGCGTTCGACAAAGAGTTTCTACGGAAGCACAACCTCGACAAGAGGTTGAAGATCGAGGAGAACAGCGCGCTGGAAACCGATCCGGATCGCGTCTCTAACGGGGAACGAATCGACGAGGAGTCGAACGAAAGGATCGTGACCGAACGGAGCGCCAGGCCCAGTTACAGCAAGAAGGTGTCCGAGGTGGAGAAGAGGTGGTCCGGGGAGTTCCTGGAGAATCGTTTGGAGCGTCACTCATCCGGGTCGTCCAAGTCCTCGTACGTCGAGGAGTTCGACAGCGTTTCGTCGAGGGAGAGCGTGGGCGAGGAGCGTAGATCCGACGCGTTGTTTATCGAGCAGGGTACACGGCAAGTGGACTTGGAAGAGGGCAGTGGATTGTCCATAGACGTCTCCGGAAGGCAAACTTCGGAGGAAGTTCTCGCGGACAGCACCGACGTTAGCACGGTAGACTCGGACTCGTGCCTCGAGGATAGAATCAAGGCGGTCGAGGAGGACATCGACGAGGCAGCGAACAAGACACGGTTACCTGGCGATGACGGAGCCGATCGACGTCAAGAGGAATTCGAACGAGCCAATCGGTGGATAGAGTCGATCATACCGACGAACGACAGGTTTCAGGAACGAAGGGACGAGTCTCAGAGAGTGTTGAGCTTCTATCCGGACGCTGGACTCGGCTCGACGGATTCCATAGACTCCACGTTCGTCGATCGAAGTCGATCGGGTAGAGACGGATACGCGAAACTCATAAGGGAATTCACCATGGAGACGACTTCTGTAGCGGCTGGCTCGTCTCGAGCGAAGAAAGAGGTTCGTATAATCAAATAGCGCACGGTTCAACCCTTAAGCGGACTCTCAATCTCAACCGAATTATTTTACTTAATAGAAATCAACTTTCCTTTAAAGCATTTAAAAAATAATGAACTAATGGAGAATTGTATAAATTTTCAAATAATTACGTTGATATATTAAACTTGTGGAGGGCCCTAATAATCCACTTAAGGGTTAATTTCATTACATTTCAACAGTAGCGAAATATTTCTTTGTTCTCTCCTTTAACGACTACAGTAATGATTCATAAAATGAACCCTATGATTATCCCTTCCAACTGGGAGGATTTTCCTTGAAGTCAGCGAAACGGGAAAGACGATATTTGAAACACGACACGAGCTGTGTGTACATACATACTTATGTAACTATCCGTTGGTGTCGAATTTCGCCTCCGGTGTACGAAAGATGAACGTGCCAATCCCGGAGCGCTGTTCATTTTGAGAATCATTACTGTAACAATATCTACTGGTATTTGCCTCGAAATTTTTACTCCGATTTGCTTGTTTTTATCAGCCTTTCAAAACTGTACCATATCAGTATCGCTTTCTAAATTATAATCGTCCTTGGAAACGTCACTGTTCCAATTCACCAATTCCAATCAGTTCTCGTTCTGCTTCTTGAAATACGTTTCCATCGATTGGCGATCTATTTTTGTCTCTCAAGATATTGCTAAATTTGTCAGATGAACGACGAATATATTACGAACTCTTGAACTTTGTATTTGCTATTACGAGAACGTTGTTGAGCAATGAAGATATACTACCAAGGCTTAGAAATCACATCTGTGCACACCTAATTCTATCAGCTCGTGTAACTGATATTTTTATTATAAAAAAAATGTAAAATCTATTTTTGCACTGAATACATCACGGAATATGTAAAAAAGTAGCTTTAATAGTACTCGGACATTAAACACATTAAAGTTTAACATAATATTCAAATAAAATAGAAAATGCAAATATTAATCTGCTCGTAATAATGAAAATTTTTGCCAGACGATAATAAAAATAATACACTATTGTAACACATATAGGAGTTACAAAGGGTAAATATTTGCGAAATATTTAATTAGCTATCTGCTTTATTAAAATTATGAAGTGAAATTAAAAAAGTATAACGTTAGTAAAAAATTAAATTTAAAAATAGCTCCCGCACGATCGTACTTGGTGGACCGAGTTGAACCGTGACCGCAACTCGTAGGTCAAATCACTCTCTTTACTTGGTTTCTCAATTCGACTAATGCTCATTTGCAATCAGACCGTTTCATCGACTGAACGACTCTCGATTCTCAATTGGTCTGCACTCTTATCCTCTCTCACACACTCTCGCGCGATGCGTTGCTAAACACTGAACTACAAAAGTCCACGTGTATTTTAAGAACTCGTTCGCTCTTCTCTCGCCAATAACCAATAACCGAGAGTAAACATCCTCCGTTACACCATCTCAAACACTCTTCATTCGCACCTACCAGCATTCATTCACTTAAAATGTACATTGACCTTTGCTTGATATTTGCTTACTACTGCAACGTTTCAACGAATCTGTACTGCTGCGAATAAAAGTAAAGTATACAGTATTGTCTCTATAGAAGCGACGCTCTCGGGGCTCAACGCTCGGCTGTATCGTGGACGAGAAACGATTCTTGATACTTTGTTGACGCCTACTGGAGGCGGCGAGTATAAAAAAGAACAGCGAGCATATGACAAAGAGGGACTGAGCGGCCGAGCATCGCCGAATTTGCTATCGCTTCCTTCGCTTCGGGTCGGCTGTAACGAAACACAGGCGATGTTTATGCGAGCCTATACGAAATCGGTGTTCTAATTCTGACTTCTACCTCTCTTGGTAGAGGTCGCAGAATGAAATACTGATTCTGTATAGGCTCGCGTAAACATCGCCTGTGTTTCGATACAGCCGACGTGGAGTCACTTGAACGATGCATGCCTTTGATTTCTTATTGCGTTAGTAAATAGGACCTAAATTGTATATCGTATTTGGTGTCATTTTAATCAGAAAACTGTCACGAATATGTTGATGAAGTTCGAAAAAAGGAAGAACAAAAATAAAGATAAATTTCGTTGTTGATTTAATATTGTATATGTACTAGTTAAATCGTGTCATAACTTCAGTACATATATGTATGTATCGCTCGTTTACTGCAATAGTGATATGACTCAAAAAGATACAACTTGCGAATTTGAACTGTTTAACCAACTTATTTTACTCTGAGTTGTCTCACGATTTCGGCAAATAAATGATAGGTCAATTAAATTATAATTCCTTTTTTCAGATGAGGATACACTTTAAAGAAAGGTCAAATGTATATTATAATTTATGAAAAACAATAATAAAAATTATGTTGTACTTGATCTTAGTTAAATCAGAAAACTGTCACAGACATGTTAAAAGTTTCAAAACAAGAAAAGGAAAAATAAAAAATTTGTATTATTGCACTAGTGTTGCCTTAGTAATTTGAGCCCGTATCGTATGACAATGTTCGACGACCGACCGTCAAGCGCGCCGCTATCTTGGGGAACCGCCCATAGGAAGGCATACTCGCCGATACAGCGAGTGCTTAGTTCTAACGGTACGCAGTGGGGATAAGTAGAGGGGATATGATATTTGCCTATATCGTGGACGAGTTCCGAGCTTATATAGAGAAAATACTGTACTTCTAATTTACATTTCACTCATAAATTTTTTAAACATTGGTAAATTAAAATAGTTGAATTTCAAATAAAATATATCCAACTTTGATACATACAATGTTTCCACCGCTCTATACGCATTTTTTAGCGTGATAAACCTATCATCATCCTTATTATCTATTAAGCAGAAGAAGAAGCTCGGGCTTCGTCGACTTCTACCGGGTTTCTTCTCGCCGAAGGACTCCCGGAAGGACTACAAAAAGAAAGAATCGAAAGAACGTAAGAGACAGGATGACCGACACTTCGCGCGCTATCAACAGAACGGAAATTACACCAAGTCCCCGGACACGATGAACCTGAACGAAGACATCAAGAGAAACGTCAAGTTGGACAATAGTTTGAACGGATCCATAATCGAAGAAAGACTGGACGAGATCAAACGCGAACTGTTCCCGGATCAGGGCCCCATAACCAGCACTCCCGATCACTTCACACGAGACGACGATCAAAGTCTTCTGCGCGATCGAGTCGGACCGCCTCGATCCTACACCACCGATTCCAGTCTGAGCTCGATCGCTCCCGACGAGAGATGGATCGAGAGGAACAACGCTCATCTTGGCATATCACCTGACATTCGGAAGTTCGAGCAACGTCAAAAGCGCGAGGAATTCGGCCAGAGATACGGTCAGCTCGAGCGCAAGCACAGCTTGCAGGAACCGAACCACGCGACGCGATCTTACTTCTTTCATAGAAATCACGGGCCATCGGGCAGGATCTCGGCCCCGCCTAGCGAGAGATACTTCGTGCGACCCAGGGCGATCCATCCCATCGACAGACCCTTGCCAGCGATCCCCCACTCGCGAACGGAGTTGTCCAACTACGAGAACTATCTGGAGGAGCAGGAAGAGATGCCAACGCAAACGACCAGGTACGGGAAGAGCTCGTACGCGTACTCCTTCGCGCCCGACAAGTCCAATTACTCGAACGAGCCGGGTCTCTACGAGAACGACAACGCATCTGGTCTGATTCTGAAGTCGGTATCCGCTCAGGTGAAGATCACGCGTCAGCCGATCGTCAATCAGAATCACAGAGCTCCTCTGGTGGGCAGATCGCCCAAGTATCCATCGTCAGGAAGCAGTCAGAAGTCGGGTGATTACGCGGATTCGAGTTGCACGCCGAACTCCAGCCAGAAGAGCGAGTTCTCGCCGTCCAGCTCGAAGAGCGGCGAATATTACCTGCACTCGCCGCGAAACAGCGGCTCGCCAACGGGCAGAGACCTGGACGAGGACTGTCGCAGGGAGGGTATTTACGAGAACGAGAAATCGCCCTCGAGATCGTCCACTCGTTGCATGGACGAGCGCATATACGACGAGAGCCCGCCTTCCGGTTGCGAGGATCGCTCCTCCACCCCCACTAATTCCAAGCAACTGGACCGCTCGATGGAGGGCTCTCTGGAGAAAAGGGACACGCCGTCGAACCGTAGTCCCACAAAGAGTTTGCAAATCGCCGAAAAGCCGGACGACGATCAAAGGCACGAGCAATCGACAAGCCAAGCGGTAGGTAGCAGTCCAGCGGGTTCACCGAGTCAAGGGAAGACGGTTTCGTCGCCGACTGTGCGCGCTCCGCCGCCCTCGAGGAGGGCTCAGCCCAACGAGCAGATCCTGATAGCCTCGCCGAAGAGGGAAACGCCGTACGAGACGCGGATACCGCGTCCCTCGAACGAATCCAGGCGATACGCCGTGGAGTCGCCCGTCCACATAACGAATTCCCCGCGTAGGCTTCAACCGGGCAACTCTCTCGAGCCGCGTACTCAAGATCACGCGGAGAATCCACGCGAGGATCAGTCGTTTCGCGGCTCGAGGATGGCCAACTTTGCGGGACAGGGCTCGACCGCGAACATGACCGCGGAACTGCCGCGTCCGGAGCCTATTTACGGACACAGGGGTCAACCGATACCCAGCCAACGGTCATCCTATCGGTCAAACGCGCAGAAGAAAGATTGCGAAGATAGAGTGGCTTGGGTCCAAGGACGAGCCTCCTCGCCCGCCAAGAATTTACAGAAACGCGTCGAGTCCGAAAGGAGCAGCCCGAGGACGGAGAAATGCAGCAGGTCGCTCGAACTACGCCCAACGGAGGTTCAACGTCGAGAGAATCATGCTGTTCAGTCGCAGCGTCCTGCACCGCCGTACGTCGAACTTCAGAGACCCAGGATTCCCTGTCAAGAGAAAACGCAACAGTCTCCGAACGCAGGTCCGTCTCAACAACAACAACAGTCGCTGCAACCACGATCTCTCGAGGAGCCCGTGTATCTGCAGAGAGTCTCGGAACCGGTGTACGGGCAAAGAGGCACCAGCAGCGGAGCGCTGTCCCCGTCGAAGCAAGAGACTCGACAACAATTGGAGGCGTTCTACTGGCAACAGAAGGCGCTCGAGGCGCGCAGGAAGTCATTCGCGACCCCGGTGACCGCCAGCCCCAGGCAGACCGGTCGAAAAATTGACTTGCCAGAGGTCAGAGAAGCGGTGTACTGGCAGCAGCTCAAGAAGCTGGACGAAGAGCAACAGAGGCGCATCTACGAGCAGAATCTGGCAGAGGAGAGGTCGCAAGGTAGATCTAAGAGTCCCGGAAGACCAACGACCTCCAGGCAAGGGACTCCACGAGGTCCCGTGACGACCGATCTCTCGATATCCACCGCGTACGCGGACCCCGCTGCCTGGACGGACGATCGTCGTCGTACGAAAGGGAACCCCACCGGGAAGCCACCGTTGATGCAGAAGGGTCAGAATCAACCTGTGCTGATCGTCAGGCCCCAACAGGCGATCCAGGACCGTCGAGAAGCGCCTAGCAAGCCGCTGGACCCGACCAGGCTCGAGGTGCAACGATCGAAAAGCGCGTCCCCGCATTTCCATCGAGGCGACACGCAGTTGATCCCGCGGAAAGTCGACACTCGTTCGATTTACGAGGAGGACGCGAACGACGCTGACGGGAAAACCGCGCCTCCGCCGATTTTCAAGAGGGGCAGCTTGATCAGCGGCGATCCCGTGGAGTACGGGAGTGCTGGCGGCGCGAAGAGAGTCAGCTTCTCGAACCAGTCGACCTTAGGGCCCGATTTGGCCAGCGGAAGTTGGCCGACGAAACACGGCACGGCCCCGGAACCGCCGACTCGCAGACACAGGAGCGAGGACAGCGCTTCGGATAGCGATTCGGTGTTCTCTCATCAAGACCGTCGCGACGTCGGTCACTGTCCGGACGCCGCGGAGTACGACGCCGACAGACCGTTGCCGCCATTGCCCAAAGACTCGCCCGGCAGCGCTACGAGGCCCGGAGCCGCGAGGAGCAACGCGTACGGGGACCTTGGATGGAATTCGGGCCCCGATCCTAGAAGGACCAGCCCCAACGCCATCGCGGACCAGATGCAGCGCGTGCTACGTCAGAAGGGTGAGTGGTTTTGTGTTTATTTAATTATTATTTTTTGATGATGTTTATTTATTGCAATTTTGTCCTTCGACGTATATGGGGAAACGTCGAAATGATCAATTTGGCAGTAAACGATACTATCTTATCTTAAGTATATAGAATGTTCGGCCACCTCAGGGAAAAATTTTAATGGGAGATTCTAGAGTCTAAAATAAGATGAAAATCAAGAATAGCAATTTGTTGATTGAGACTTTGTTAAAAAGTTATTCACGTTTAAAGTGCCGCCTGTAGAACGGCAATCTGCGTACACTGTAAGACTGTTGATACGTCAATAAGTATAGTTTCCCCTGCTGAGTGAGAACCACTCTTTTGTTTTTAATTTGAACTCTTAAATAGCCTAATGTATGAAGAAATGAACTTATATCAGTTTCATAAACAATTGAGAAACAACGAAGAATGTCTTTGGCTCTGAATTTCTCGTGGAACAAGATGAATAATTCGTGGACCCTTTCACCGATTGTCGAAGTTGCTCGCGGCCCCCTTTCTGCTATTTCCTCGCCCCATGCTCCTGGCAGATCGTAATTTTATCCGGACAAGGTGCGAACCGCGCCTTGCCGAGCGGCGTATGACCGTGCATTTCGATGAGACCCTTAAGGCAAACCAAGAGCAGCATCGCATCGCGTCGCGTGCAAGCACGTTCCTCCGCGCGGCAGACAAATCTCGCTCTTACGTCTTAAGCCTCTTTTCGACTCAACGGTACTACGGTTTCACGTAATCGTGTACGCGTCCTGGTCCTTACTCCAGAAAACGATTTCGCGGAACCACGAAAATCTCCTGCTTGTTCCGTTTGTTCCGTCTGTCAATGCAATCGTTAAGGTCACGGACGTGAACGTTAATTTCAGAGCGTATTATATCGTTGAAACATCCTTATTAGATACATGCATCTATGAAACGTGAAACAAGAGGTGCGTACATTCGGGTGACGTGAGAAACAGTTAACCCTTTCGAAGATCTGCTGGTGACAAGTATGTAGTATTGCAAGCTGAGATGTTGTGGACGATCGCAATTGGCAATTAGCTTATAAAAATTCTTCGTATATTTGATATTTAACACGTTCGCTGTCTGATCAAAACCATATAATATTCTTCAAGACCAAAATCTCGATTGTAGACCATTGTAAACTACATAACCTGAAATTTGTTTCGGTACATATTTTCGTATCCAACTAAATTTATTTCTCTCTACATCTCAGCTGAAGAATTAATTTTTCTAATTCCATATAATATGGTGGTCAAATTAGATGGGGTATGTTATACGAGGGAAAATAACTTAAACAATGATTTTTGCAACCCTCTCCCATCTTTCCCGGATACATTTTAACAATGGGAGTCGTTTCGGTTGCACTCGAGCGGGGAAACACTGTGTTTGCGTAGAGATTGGCGTTCGAGGTCAAGATTTCCTTAATCCCACGATACGTGGGTAGGATTGCGTCATCCGATGAGGCGGTTACTTGGCGAGTCGAGACGACGCGACGCGACTCGACGCAGAGTAGGTACGGCGGTCATGATTATACACGGTTGCCCTTCTAGTCAGTCTCGAGGAAGGTCGCTGACCTTGCGACTCGATGAAACTCTCGACACATCGATGCGTGCTTGCACCCATCGTTTCTCAAACGCCCACGCGTCTCGCGATGCTACTTCGTCAAGTCACCTGATAATTTCGCGAAATCGATGTTCGAAGCTAGGACTTGGCACTGAATATTGTACAACCGGTATCGAAAGACCACCCAATAAGTGGGAACTACGCCAATGCCCCTCAGATTTTCTACCCGCTTAACATTTAGTTCCCAGTCAATCGAGAAGTATATTATTTAGAGAATCCTATCCTTTTCTAAACCATTTCTTTCAATTACTATTCAATATTTCGTTTTGCAATATTTTTCCCCGTGGTTCCGTTGTCTTCTAATCGATTGGCAATGGCAGAGTAGATGTTCGTTTCAACGCGTAAATTCAACGCCTGACTATAGCACACATGATCTTAAATTAACCCGTAAGTCAGCGTACTGGGGTATAGTAGACCCCCACTGGGATAAATTATGTGCTGTTGCCTGATATAGGTTGTTTATTCCGATGAGGTCATGCGAGGATATATGTACCTTTCTGTATCCGTCAATTTTCTGCCAGTTGACAGTGTGTTCCACTATATTAAATTACTGATTTACATTTCTATTTTCCAAGACCGTAAACAATATATAATTTCCTTTTAAGTGTTAACATTATGACTTTATTATATCTTAAATTTAAAACAAGAGGCGTTTATTAGTATTATCGTGTGCCCCTAAAAATTAATTTTCCACTTCTTCAATTTGGGAAACAAAATATTGTTTTGTATCGAAAAAATTGTTTGTACTCATACTTAAAAAAAAAGACATGGTAAGGTAAGAGATTAGTGAACAAAGTTACTAACGAAGTCCTCTTCTCTGTGCTGTTTTACGTTTTACCAACATTAGTGGACTTTCCCTGAGGAAGGAACAAATAAACTCACTGTTGTTTCATTGACAAGTTCGGCGCCACGGCGACGGGTGAAAATTTCTGTTTTCCAGCACGACCACTTGAACCAACTCTAAATATTTAGCCACCATAGATCGAGTGAAGTATGCTGTGTCCCGTCTAAAGCCCCCTTTTTGGTCTCGACGACTGGCATGGCGACAGTCAAGTCGCGTGTGGTCCTTTTGTTTAGAAATTTCACCCTCTGTGAACCCCAAAACTCACAAGGGAAGGATCTATGGTGAATACAAGAGAGAGGCTACAAGGACTTGAGACTGAATCTCTTATCTGAATTTTAATAGCTCCAAACGATTTTAGGGGGTAGGATTTCTGATATTTCTAGCGATATAATGTGAAATATCAGGCATAATTACTTAATAGAACAGAGAAAATGATCTTAACTAAAAGCTTAAAATATAAAACAATTAACTAACGATATCCAATTGTTAATATTTTCCAGCTTTCCAATCATATTGAACGTATTGAAATATTTATTTTGTTTAGTTTATTGCACCAGATATTTAAAAAATGTGTTATGTTTTTGTCTTTAAATGTACATTAATAGTGTTTAAAATTGTCGAATAGCTACGCCATTGAGAATCCGTATATCAAAAAAAGTTCATTGAAATCGAAGTTGGACAGTTTGAGTCCTTCCCTGTGTCAGATTCCTGCCTAATCTTCATAGTCGAAGATTTTTTTAAATCCGCGGGCTCGTTCGACGATGCAGCGAAATTAAAATGAATCGTCACGGTTTCAGTAAAAGCGACGACCGAGAAAAGTGTACGCAGATGACGGGGGCAGGGTTGCGCCGAGTCCCAAAGCGCCTTTCCGGCTCGTTCATGCAAAGTCAAACGGGCAACCTTCCTGCGCGACATTAAAGTTTCATAATTTCGGAAGCTTCTGTTGCGTCCTGGCTTGTATCTCTTCTATCGTCGACTCCGAACACGATGCTTTGACCAAGTTTATTACTGTGTTGTGCACGCTCAACCCAAGTATACGTGGATGAATTTATAGAATACCCAAAGTCTGACGCGATTTTGGAATCGTGTATTTTTCAAGAGCTCGGTAACGATTCTCCTTTAACGCTAGAAAAACTGAGAGCTGTTTGTCGAGTCCAGCAGTCGAGAAATCTTAACACTTTCACTGTGTATCGGTGTCGAATAAACAAGTAAATTCTCAGTCTTCTTTTTTATTAAATAAAAATAAAATCAATTTTATTCGCGTTACATGTACGGTTCGAAATGTAGTTTACAATTATTTGTGGTTCTCAATTAACTGATTATACGATTATGACAATCCTCAAAGCTTCAACACGCGTTTCACGTGCCATGTGTGCACGCGTATTTTAGTAGATGTAGAAAACCGGGATCTCTGCTATAAACGTTGCTGCAATCAAATTTAGGACACCTCCGGCATAGAGCGACCGATACGCAAAAGTTACGAGGGACACTGAGCCGAAAAGTCTCTTAATCTAACCGATCGAGCGGTTTCTGACGTCGTGGATACAATAAGGGACCGAACAATAAAATTTCGGGACGGAATAATTTCGCACATTCTCCGTCGCGTCGCCAGAACTCGAGACTTTACGCCCTCGCGTGAAACTATTGGTATTTCATTCGGAAAGGATTGAAAGTCTGTCTCCGCGCCCGGAATCGACGCGACGACGTAGGTATTATTGGAATTCTAGAAAGAAACTCGTAGACTGTCGATGGATAACGATATACAATATTTTTCGACGATAGTTCCCAAATATTGAATATTTTACAACAAGATTTCAAAGTTGAGGAATGATAAGTCGCGTCGTTTGTACGAGTTTCTTTCAACAAAAAGGAATAGGTCATGAATCTTTCTTTATACCCTTCATCACCTATCCAAAGTTAAGACTTTGGTTTACAGAAGAACTATTTCGGTTGATCCTACATTTTGGCTATTCCCGGATTTTCACTGGACCGCTGACCTTAATATCAACCTCATTGTTGACCATCGATGACCACATAGCTAATCATTGTTAACAGTTATCAATGATAGTTGTCAGAAACTAAGTTTTGGGGTCTAAAATCCATATTTAATGATTTTACATCGCATCGTACTTGGAACAAGTTATTTGTAAACAGTGCAATCAACGTTTATTTTCTCCCAAGTACTCGCGTAGATTGAATCAGGCTTGCCAAGGTACACGTAGAAACGATGAAACTTCATAGCGATTCTACGCGATGTAAACTGAGTACTCAGAGAATTCAAACTACATTTCTCTCTCTCGCTCTCTGGATACATTTTCCGAGTTCCATGCGTAGTAAGGTATTTCATGGAGAAAGGATGACCCTAAACTTTAGGGGCTATGCAGAAATCTGACTTCAACTGTAGAAAGTGCACCGCGTCGAATAATATGTTTTAAAGATACGGAGATTTCCACCTATTCCGACGGAAGTGATTAGTAGAACTCGGAATGAATAAAACAGGAAACAGGAGGCTGGC